CCCTAAGAGCTGGTTGGCCTAGGGGAACCCACTGGGACAACTTCCTCCCACTTCACGCAGTCTCATCCTCCAACAAGCTAGCTGAGCTGCTTCAAGGGCAGTAACACATTCCAAGAGGCTAAGGGCTGAGGGTACAAGCTACAAGGCATCTTGAGGCCTGGCCCAGAATAATATGACTTCTCCATTCTTTTGGTCAAAGCAAGTCACAAGGTTAGCCTAGATTCAAGCGGTGAGGAAACAGACTCTACTTCTTGCTGAGAGTAGCTGCAAAGCATTTGTGGCCATTTTTAATCTACCATAGCTACATTCTCACAAATAAAATAATACAACAGAGCTGTTAGGAAATAGCCAAATATAGTATAATATAACATAATATGCAAGAAGATAATTTCCTGAGAGCCTCTCTCTCCTTCTCTTGCAAATATACCTAACATATCTCATATATATTACATATATATGAGACAAGGTCTCACTTTGTCAGCCAGGCTGCGGTGTAAGTGGTGTGATCACAGCTCACTGCAGCCTCAACTTCCCAGGCTCAAGTTATCCTCCCACCTCAGCCTCCTGAGTAGCTGGACTACAGGCATGCCCAGCTAATTTTTGTATTTTTTGCATATACAGGGTTTCACAATGTTGCTCAGGTTGATCTCAAACTCCTGGGCTCAAGTGATCCACCTGCCTCAGCCTCCCAAAGTACTGGGATTATAGGCATGAGCCACCATGCCCAGCTTATATTCAAAATATTTTTATTATAGTTAAAAGCCCTCTCACGATTCAGGGGCTTGACAAAAAGCTAGAGCAAAAACTTGGGCTCTCTTTTTTTGACCTGAACTTCAAAGCACATCATTTCTTACTGCATTAGATTTTCATTAGTTAATATCTCATGAAACCAATAGTTATTACCCTAAAAGTTCATTTTGTGGACTATTCAGCCTCTTTCTTGCTGTCCCTCTTCAAGGCAGTTTTTTCTTGGGATCATCACTAGAAGTGCTAGTAAAATTACCTGACTCCCCACACAATGAAAACAGGAATTGGTGGGGAAGGGGAAAGAGGGAGGAAAAACAAAAGCATAATTCAGCAAACTGAAAGACAAGGTAAAGTTCTCTTTTGTGTAAAGCGTTCCTACTTTAAAAAGCCAGATCTCATATATTAATGGCAAAGGATATGAATAGTCATAATTACAGCTATCATTTATTGAGTGCTTACTTTATGCAAGTTACTGGTCACATACCTGCTCTCCTTTAGTTCTGTGGCAGTCTTGGGTAACTATTCTACAAATGGGGAAACTGAGGCTCAGAATTTAAGCAACTTGCCTATGGTCACAATTATATAGTGTCAAAGCTGCAGGATTAAAATCTGAGAAAATACTACTGGTAAACAATGTGGAAAAAGATCCAACATAAGAAAGAAATCCAAGTTAAAACATTATTTGAAGTATAATTTATTACCTACCAAATTACATATTTTTTAATGGTAATGGCTAGTGGGTGGCAGGGGGTCAGTGAAACTGGTCCTTGTATTGTAGATAGCATTATAGATGGGTATAATCCTTTTGTGAAGCAATGTGAAAGTACATAAACAAGAGCCACAGAAATGATCATACCTGGTCTTCATCTGTTTTCTGTTGTGTATAACAGAATACCTGAAACTGGGTAATTTATAAGAACAAAATTTGTTTAGTAATATTACAGTTCTGGAGGCTAGGAAGTCCAAGGTCAAGGTGGAGCATCTGGTGGAGAACCTTCTTGCTGGCAAGGACTCTCTGCAGAGTTCCCAAGGCAATACAGGACATCACATGGCAAGGGAGCTCGGCATGTTAACAGGCTAGTTCAGGTCTTCTTCTTCTTATAAAGCCACCAGCCCCACTCCCATGATAACATGTTAATCCATTGATAAGAGCAGAGCCTTCATGACCCGATCACCTCTTCAGGGCCCTACCTATCAATATTGTCACATCGAGGATTAAGTTTCAACAGGAATTTTGGAGAGGTCCAACATTCAAACTATAGCATACAAATCCACTTTCTGAAATCTATCCTAAGAGAAACAGTCCAAAACTTGGAAAAGACTATATTTATAAACACAGTCATCAAAATGTTATTTAAATAGTAAAAACTTGAAAACAACTGACAAGACCAGAAATATGTGAATGATAAACTAAACCACATCTATTAAACCATTTTATAATAATTAAAGATTATAAATATGAAGACTGTGAAGTAGTATGAGAATGCACTGGGAAAAACAAAAAAGCAAGATGAAAGCTGGGTTTGGTGGTGCACAGCTATGGTCCCAGCCACTTGGGAGGCTATGGCAAGAGGACAGCTTGAGTCCAGGAGTTCCAGGCCAACCTGGGAAACATGGTGAAACCCAACTCTTTAAAAAAAAGAAAAGAAAAAGGGCCAGGCATGGTAGCTAATGCCCATAATCCCAGTGCTTTGGGAGGCGAAGGTGGGTAGATCAATCAAGGTCAGCTGTTCGAGACCGGGCTGACCAATATAGTGAAACCCCATCTCTACTAAAAATATACAAAAATTAGCTGGGCGTGGTGGCAGGCACCTGTAATCCCAGCTACTTGGGAGGCTGAGGCGGGAGAACTACTTGAACCTGGGAGGTAGAGGTTGCAGTGAGCCTAGATCATGGCACTGCACTCCAGCCTGGGCAACAAAGCAAGACTGTCTCAAACAAAAAAAAAAAGAAAGAAAGAAAAAGCAGAATGCAAACTAAATGTAATTACTATATTTACAAATCTGTTAATAGGGGGTAGGAGTGGGGAGCTAGCAAGAAATATTCCAGAACATTAAAAGCAGTTACGTTAAGGTGATAAATTTATAATTGCTTTCCTTTGCTATTATTGCTATTTTTTGGCAATGTGCTTGTATTATTGTTAAAATGTAAAATAATTTCATTTAAAAATAAACCAAAACATTTTTTTCAGAAAATCAAAGGTAGTTGTGTTGAAAGTAACATAATCTGCCCAGTGATGCTGGGACCAGGTCTTTATATCTGGGAGGTAAAAATGTAGCAAAGTTATTTCTATCTCCGGTTCCCAGCCCTTAATCCATAAATTCCAACGATATCACCTCATTCATTGAATAACTTGAGCTTCTGATCTACAGGAACTGTCAGGCTCCTTTTCAGCTCTCCTAATATCAAACTAAACCTATTACTCTGAACTCCACCTCCCCTAGACTTTTCCATCACCTCACTGTCCTTCCTTTCCTCTACAATTCTGAGGGCTTTTTTTTTTTTCCATGTCATCAGATCCTCAAAGATCAACCTAGTATGGCAGGAATGTCTGAAGGCATTTTCGTGAGAGTCAGTCGTAATGTTTAACCTTGGTCCTGAGCATGTTCTGGAAACAAAGCATGTTTAGACAATGACATCTCTTTTTCCCAAACGTAAAAAGTGTATATTTCAAACTTAAAGGCTTTTCTGGATAATTCTTTTAACTTTATGTTAAAACAAGAGCCAAGCCTCATGGCCTATGTTTTTTAGAATATTCAAACATTTAAAATAAGAAATTGAATCCAGTTGGAAAACATTCCATTGGAAAGAGTAATCTAGTTGATTCTGCAGCTGGGCTCAGTTCAGCTATAAATTCAAAAGCTAGTCCTGGAGTAAGTGAAATAATTTAAGTAGTATAGTTGAATTACCTCTGTAGGACATCTGGGCAAAACTGTGAGATGTTAGAAACCTTGGCAGGATATTTCAGAGTGGGACTTGTGTAGTCTCTGTGGCTTCTGCTTCTCTTTCTCCCCTTGCTTCCAAATATCTGTCTCACCTCCTTGTTCCTTTCCAGAACCAGGTTACTCCATTTTTTTTACATCCAAACCATCAGTGATGTCCAGGTCCCTTCTCATAGTAATATGATCCTGTCTGCAGATTAACTTCAGAGGATATATATTTTGTAGTTTTTTTTTTAACATTTAATGTTATTAAACATGTTTTCAAATTGATGATATCTTAGAGAGGATTTTAAATTTAAAGCCAAATCCCATCTCTATAGCATTTCATAAGTTGCTCACATTGGTGTGACAGGTATTACCAAAACTTTTGATGAAGTTTCCTATCCAAACCAGAGGACTCTTAAATGAAAATAACAGCAAGATCACAACTTTGTTTTTGGTGGGGGTCGGGCACACGGTCTCACTCTGTTACGGAGGCAGTGTCACCTAGTGCAGTGGCATGATCTTGGCTCACTGCAGCATTCACCTCTGAGGCTCAAGCCATCCCCCCACCTCAGCCTCCTAAGTAGCTGGGACTCTAGGCACGAGCCACCATGCCTGCCCAGCTAATTTTTGTATTTTAGGGAGTTTCATCATGTGGTCTCAAACTAGGCTCAAGCAGTCTGCCTGCCTCAGGCTACCAAAGTGCTGGGATTACACGCATGAGCCACCATGCCTTGCTAAGATCACAATTTCTATTTGTGCTAGTTGAGGCAGATATTTTACTATTCTGACCTTATTTGGAAACAGTTAAACAACTCACTTGAATTGTAGGCCCATCATGTGACAAGCTGGGTAAAAGAGAATTTGCAAGTGTTCTAATTTTGTTATTCTATTTGTTTTAAATTGAATGTTTGTCCTCCAGAAATTCTTATGTTGAAACCCCAACTTCCACTGCAACAGTATTACAAAGTGGGGCCTCTGGGAGTAAATAGGTTTAGAAGAGATCATAAGGTTAGAGCTCCCATGATGGGATTACGACTGTATCAGAAGAGAAAGACTAGAGTTGTCTTTCTCTCTGCCATGTGAGAAGAGAGCAAGAATGCAGGCATCTGCAAACAAGGAGGGACTTCCCAAGACACCAGTTGAAGGTACCTCTATCTTTATCTTGATCTTAGACTTCCCAGCTTCTAGAACTGTGAGAAACACATGTTTGATGTTTAAGCCACACAGTCTGTGGTAGTTTATTATAGTGGCCCAGAGTGACTAAGACACTGTTCTTCCCTGAGATAGTGTTTGAATAACCAGTACTTACTTTGGCTCTGTGTTCAGATTACTGACTCAGTGATGGAGATGTTATCGGCAAAATGCCATTACCTGCACATTTTGGATATCTCTGGTTGTGTCTTGCTTACTGACCAAATCCTTGATGACCTTCAGATAGGCTGCAAACAACTCCGGATCCTTAGGATGCAATACTGCACAAATATTTCCAAGTAAGTATGTACCTGACTATGATAAACTTTGAGACTACTTTCTGAGAAAACATAGTATATGGCTATGATGTTCATAATACATAGTGGCTTTCAGTGTTAGGAAGTTTCATTTCATTTTATTTTTTGCCTAACTAAAGCAAACATTGTGAGTTGTTCTAAAGTGGCCTTTGTGGTTTCCTATTCCTTTCCCAGTAGGCATTTGACTTTAAGCATCTTCCCTTCCTTGACCAAGCAGGTGTCCAAAGCTTTAACTCTAGCTCTTCCTCTGTTCATTTCTCAAAATACAGTCCATTCAGTTAATCTCCCCTAGGAGATTGAGAATAATCTGATTAAACCAGCTCACAAGTTTTTGCCTCTTGACTGAGGGCAAAAATATGCAAGCATTTTAACTGACCTGATGAAATAACATATAAAATGCTTAAACTAAGAATCCTTGACCTTCCCCTGACATGGAAGGTAAGGTTCTATTGTGCAGGTGTGAAAAATACTAAGAATTAATATTATCAAAGTATAAAGTGTACAATGTGGCCCAGGCATGTAGATTTCATGTAGGAACTTTCTTAACTAAGTAGCTGTGGTGTGAGCTAAACCATGAGCCCCTGGTTACTTGAGGCCTGAAGAAGAAAATGATTTCTTATCCAAGCAGTATGTGTTAAAATGAAATGGAAAAAAGAAAGAAAACTTACTTGTAAAATAGCCATTCTCACTGGGCCCACGCCTGCAGAAGGAGGGCAGCCAGCCAGAGCTGGATCAGAGAGAAGGGGGTAGGTCCTTGAAAATTTTTGAGAAGGGATGGAAACTCAACTTTTCCTGATAGGTCTAGAGATGACTCTGATATGAATACTATTAACCTCATTGAAAGAACATACCATGAAATCGGGTCCTAGGAGTCTCTGCCAAAACTCGTTAGATTATTAACAGCCAACTTTGGGCAAGATGACAGTGAATGAATAATGTGTTACTCAAAGGAGCTTAGCTTCTAATCTTTTGATTGTATTTTGCCAATCACTATTTATAAGAACTAATATTATTGAACTTCTAATAAGATTCTGGAATGAATGGAGACTTTCTGGCAAGGGTCTCTTTGAACCTAATCATGGTGTGATGATATGGTTTGAATGTGTTCCCCAAGTTCATGTGTTGAAAATTAATCCTCAGTGCAACATTTTTGAGAGGTGTGACTTTTAAGAGTTGATTAGGAGATAAATGCCATTATAGTGGAAGTGAGTTAGTTATCATGGGAGTGGGTTCCTGACAAAAGGATGAGTTAGGGCCCCTTCTCTCCTGCCATGGGATGATATAACAAGAAGGCCCCTGCCAGTTGCTGGCACCTGATATTGGACTTCCAGCCTCTATAACTATGAGAATAAATATAAGAAGGCCCCTGCCAGTTGCTGGCACCTGATATTGGACTTCCAGCCTCTATAACTATGAGAAATTTCTTCATAAATTACCCAGTCTGTAGTAGTCTATTATAGCAACATATGGGATGTTGAAGTATGATTAATATAGTGACTGGTCAAGAAGACCCAGGATATGCAGTAATATCCACATCCTGCCTTTAACTGCTCAGTTTTCTTGCTTGGTCCCTAAATTTTAAAAATATATATTAAAAAGAAAAAAACAACAACAACAAGGCATAGTAAGACTTGATTACTAGCTGGGCTTTGTCCCAAAACCCCAATGAAGAACTCTAATTAATCAGCTATAGCTATGAAAAATTCCATTGTCTAAGCCATAACAGCCAAAAGGCCTATTTTATCTTCTACAATCAAGTTTGGCTATCCCTATCCACAACAAGATGCAGGCAGAGACTTGGCCCTAATGCTTAGAAAGGGGCTGGTTTGGTGTGTGCACCTCATTGTCTAAAGAGGCCACACCACCACCTTTTAGTCTCCCTGAAAGCTCCACCCTTGCTTAGCTCTATCAGGAAATAATCCCTTGATTCCATCTTTGGCTAGCAATGGAGACAGTCTTCACTGCAGAGTGGCTTTGAGAGTCCCAGTGTTTAGACTAGTAATGCTCCAGAAACATCTGTTTTTTTGTGTCCAATATCTGTCCAACATCTAGGAGAGGGTGCTACTTGTCAGTTAGGGGGTTCCTGAAATACACTGGCCTCAAAATTTTTGATTAGAGAAGTGATAAGGCCTAGCTGCATGCAGCTGTTTGGGATCAGCTCTAGGGGCTGTCTTACAGAGCAGCTTTGTTTTGCATTTAGATCCTTTGGTGGAGTTGGAAATGCAGAGTGTATGTAGACCCTTCAAAACTCAAGCCCTTGATGATCTCTAATCCCTTACCTATGCTCAGTCTTTACCCAGGGCCAGTGTGGCTCCCTCAACTGCAGAGGCTTTGTCTTGCCTGGGTGAAACAGACAAGAAGCTCAATTACTTTGAATCACAAAGCAATGCACTCCACATGCTTGATTCCATTTTGACCATGAAAACAATATATGATGCAGCCCTTAAAATCCAATTACAGCCATCAGAAGAGACTGTTTTATATATAAATTCCCTCATACTCAATGGAATCTGAAACTACTGCACCAGCTTTGGAAATCAAAGAAGTCTGCTCAGCTCACCCTTTTTGAACCAGAGGAGCAGCAAACTTTTGGTCGATGAGCAAATTGGCTCTAGCTCTTTTGCAGTAGAGTTCCCAGCAAAAGATACAGCTGGCATTCTAACCAACCCCAGAGTCAGAAGGGTTTCCAGGAAGTGACCCCAGAAGCGCCATGTGGATGCAAGATAAAGACTCCTTTATTTCAAGGAGGAATAAATAACAACTATGATGAGAAAACATGACAAAAAAATCTAGTTGTTTGTATCTGAAGCAGTTGTGACAGCTACCCATTCCACTTATGGCCCTCTGTGGAGAAAGGCAACAGGGTAAAAGGAGTATGCGAGAGGAAGAAAGACCTTCACAATGGCCCCTACAACCCAGGAGGGCCTGAACCACAGAGAACCTGAAGAATCACTAATTGTATAGTTAGCAAAAAGGCTAACCCAAGAATAGAAAACCAAATACTACATGTTCTCACTTATAAGTGGGAACTAAATGATGACAGTGCATAGACATATGGGTGGGAACAACACACAATGGGGCCTGTCAGAAGGTGGACAGTAGGAGGAGGGAGAGAATCAGGAAGAATAACTAGCGGATACTGGGCTTAATACCTGGGTGACAGAATGATCTGTGCAGCAAACCACCATGGCCCACGTTTACCTATGTAACAAACCTGTATATCTTGTACATGTACTCCTGAACCTAAAATAAAAGTTGGAAATAAAATTTTTTTTAAAGTAAAGGGACCTTTCTGGTATTTTTGTGTCTGGAGCAAAAAAACTTCCATTCTAGATAAATCATAGAGAAAGTCTTAGTGGCCTTCAGAGCCCCAAATAACAGTGTGAAGATTCCTTGAAGGCCTTCTTTAGCAGTTGCTAGAAGGGTCAACTCAGGTAGTTCTTACTGCTCAGGCATTCTAGGAGATCTGTGTTGCTAAAAAAATAAAACTCTTGGAGAATTCTCTCCAGCTCATGGAAAGGTTCAAACCCTTTTGATCTGGAGCTGTTGACTTTTATTATTGGTATGAACAAGTAATGTTATTTAACAATTATTATTTGCCACATACTGTGATAAATCCTATTTTACATATATTATATAATCCTCACAAATACCCTTTATCAAAAAATGGATAAGGAAACCAGTTTAAACAGGTTAAATAAGGTACCACAGTTACACATATAGGGAGAGCCATACTTTATACCTAGGTCTTAATCACACTGTGCTGCTCTTTGCCTTTAGATTACATTCTCAAACTTTTTAAAAGCTCTGACATTCAAGGGATGTGATTGGTAAGGGTAGACACATGCTCTGTTGTGCCCATCTGATGCACAATAAGAGAGGCTGTGGATTATGAGCAGTCTGTGGTGGTGGCTCCAACATTCCCCCCCTTTTTTTTTTTTTTGACTACTCAAGAGATTAGAAGGAAAGGTGAGCAAGGGCACATAATGTTACTACAGGGCTAACCCGGAATCTCTTTTAATTTATAAATAACAAAAGTCACTAACAAACTTCAGTACAGTGTTATTATTAACCACCTAATATGATACATTACAACTGTCACATATCAGGTTTGAAAATCACTGTTCTATACTGATCCAAAGAAACCTCTCTCACCAGGTTAAATGAGTAATGATGACTAACCATTGCAGCACACTGGTTGAATTCCCAAATCATTTCACACAAGGTCTCACAGTCAGGTAGGCCAAAACAGGATGGAATGAGTCAAAGGATTCCAAATGTGCTCTATGGAATTTAGAACACACAGTGGTTCCTAAGAATACATTTTCTTTTCAATATTTCCTAGCTCCTAGGTGCTAATCATACTACAGAATCAAGCTATTAAGAGAGAAAAGGGAGGGGCAGGAGAGAGAGAGAGAGAGATGTTTCTGGCAGAAATAGAGTTTCTACATTTTTTTCTTATTCATTTATTTATTATTGTACTTTAGGTTCTGGAGTACATGTGCAGATCATGAAGGATTGTTGCAAAGGTACATACATGGCAAAGTGGTTTGCTGCCTTCATCTCCCCCATCACCTATATGTGGCATTTCTCTCCTCATTATCCCTTCCCACCCCCTGCTGTCCCTCCCATAGCCCCCTCCACTGACTGCAGTATGTGATGCTCCCCTCCCTGTGTCCACATGTTCTCATTGTTCAACACTCGCCTTTGAGCGATGAAATGCAGTATTTGCTTTTCTGTTCTTATGTCAGTTTGCTGAGATGATGGTTTTCAGATTCATCCATGTCCCTATGAAGGACACAAACTCATCATTTTTTATGGCTGTGTAGTATTCCATGATGTATATGTGCCACATTTTCCTTATCCAGTCTATCAATGATGGACATTTGGGTTGGTTCCAGGTCTTTGCTATTGTAAACAGTGCCACAATGAACATACGTGTGCATGTGTCTTTATAATAGACCAATTTATAATCCTTTGAGTATATACCCAGTAATAGGATTGCTGGGTCAAATGGTATTTCTATTTCTAAGTCCTTGAGGAAGTGCCACACTGTCTTCCACAATGGTTGAACTAATTTACACTCACAGCAACAGTGTAAAAGTGTTCCTATTTCTCCACATCCTCTCCAGCATCTATTGTCTCCAGATTTTTTAATGACTGACATTCTAACTGGTGTGAAATGGTATCTCAATGTGGTTTTGATTTGCATTTCTCTAATGACCCATGATGATGAGCATTTTTTTCATGTTTCTTGGCCTCATATGTCTTCTTTTGTAAAATGTCTGTTCATATCCTTTGCCCACTTTTGAGTGGGTTTGTTTTTTTCTTGTAAATCTGCTTTAGTTCTTCGTAGATTCTGGATAGTAGTCCTTTGTCAGATGAGTAGACTGCAAAAAATTTTTCCCATTCTGTTGGTTGCCAGTTTACTCTAATGATTGTTTTCTTTGCTATACAGAAGCTCTGGAGTTTAATTAGATCCATTTATCTATTTTGACTTTTGTTGCCAATGCTATTGGTATTTCAGCCATGAAGTCCTTGCCTACTCCTATGTCCTGAATGGTTTTGCCTAGGTTTTCTTCTAGGGTTTTTATGGTGTTAGGTCTTATGTTTAAGTCTTTAATCCATCTGGAGTTAATTTTGGTGTAAGGTGTCAGGAAGGGGTCCAGTTTCTGCTTTCTGCACATGGCTAGCCAGTTTTCCCAACACCATATATTAAACTGGGAATTCTTTCCCCATTGCTTGTTTTTGTCAGGTTTGTCAAAGATCAGATGATTGTAGATGTGTGATGTTGCTTCTGAGGCCTCTGTTCTGTTCCATTGGTCTATGTCCCTGTTTTGGTACCAGTACCATGCTGTTTTGATTACTGTGGCCTTGTAGTATAGTTTGAAGTCAGGCAGCATGATGCCTCCAGCTTTGTTCTTTTTTCTTACGATTATTTTGGCTATGCGGGCTCTCTTTTGGTTCCATATGAAGTTTGAAGTGGCTTTTTCCAGTTCTGTGAAGGTCATTGGTAGCTTGATGGGGATAGTGTTAAATCTAAAAATTACTTCGGGCAGTATGGCCATTTTCACGATGTTGATTCTTCCAACCATGAGCATGGAATATTTTTCCATCTGTTCGTGTCCTCTCTGATTTCACTGAGCAGTGGTTTGTAGTTCTCCTTGAAGAGATCCTTTACATCCTTTGTTAGTTGTACTCCTAGGTATTCTATTCTCTTTGTAGCAATTGTGAATGGGAGTTCACTTTTGATTTAGCTCTCTGTCTGTTATTGGTGTATAGAAATGCTTGTGATTTCTGTGCATTGATTTATATCATGAGACTTTGCTGAAGTTGCTTATCAGTTTCAGGGGATTTTGGGCTGAAAAGGTGGGGTCTTCTAAATATACAATCATGTCATCTGCAAATAGAGACAATTTGCCTTCCTCTTTTCCTAATTGAATATCCCTTATTTCTTTTTCTTGCCTGATTGCTCTGCCTAGAACTTCCAATACTATATTGAATAGGAGTGATGAGAGAGGGCATCCTTGTCTTGTGCCAGATTTCTTAGGGAATGCTTCCAGTTTTTGCCCATTCACTATGATATTGACTGTGGGTTTGTCGTAAATAGCTTTTATTATTTTGTGATATGTACCATTGATACCTAGTTTATTGAGGGTTTTTAGCATAAAGGGCTGTTGAATTTTGTCAAAGGCCTTTTCTGCATCTATTGAGATAATTGTGGCTTTTGTCTTTGGTTCTGTTTATGTGACAGATTACATTTATAGACTTGCGTATGTGGAACCAGCCTTGCATCCCCAGGATGAAGTCTACTTGATCATGATGAATAAGCTTTTTGATGTGCTGTTGCTTTCTGTTAGCCAGTATTTTATTGAAGATTTTTGCGTTGATGTTCATCATGGATATTGGCCTGAAGTTTTCTTTTTTAGTTGTGTCTCTGCCCAGTTTTGGTATTAAGATGATGTCGGTCTCATAAAATAAGTTGGGAGGATTCCCTCTTTTTGTATTGTTTGGAATAGTTTCAGAAGGAATTGTAACAGCTCCTCTTTGTATGTCTGGTAGAATTCGGCTGTAAACCCATCTGGACCTGGGCTTTTTTTAGTTGTAGGCTATTAATTGCTGCCTCAACTTCAGACCTTTTAATTGGGCAATTCAGGGATTCAACTTCTTCCTGGTTTAGTCTTGGGAGGTTGCAAGTCTAAACCCTCCAGCACATCCAGAAATTTATCCATTTCTTCCAGATTTACTGGTTTGTGTGCATAGAGTTATTTGTAGTAATCTCTGATGGTAGTTTGTATTTCTGTGGAATCGGTGGTGATGTCCCCTTTGTTTTTTATTGCATCTATTTGATTCTTCTCTCTTTTCTTTTTTATTAGTCCGGTTAGTGGTCTATTGTTGATCTTATAAAAAAACCAGCTCCTGGATTTATTGATTTTTTTGAAGGGTTTTTTTGTGTCTCTATCTCCTTCAGTTCTGCTCTGATCTTAGTTATTTCTTGTTTTCTGCTAGTTTTTGAGTTTTCTTGATCTTGCTCCTATAACTCTTTCAATTTTGATGATAGGGTGTCGATTTTAGACTTTTCCTTGCTCCTCATTTTGGCATTTATTGCTATGAATTTCCCTCTAGACACTGCTTTGAATGTGTCCCAGAGATTCTGGTATGTTGTGTCTTCATTCTCTTTGGTTTCAAAAAACATCTTTATTTCTGACTTCATTTCATTATTTTTAACTTTCTTGATACCATTCAAAATACATGTTTAAGAGCTTCTGCACAGCAAAAGAAACCATTAACAGAGTAAACATATGGGAGAAAAAATTAGCAAATTAGCATCTGACAAAGGTCTAATATCCAGAATTTATCAGGAACTTAAATAAATCAATAAGCAAAAACCAAACTACCCCATTAAAAAGTGGGCAAACGACATGAATGTACACTTCCCAAAAGAAGACATACAAGTGACCAACAAACATGTGAAAACATGCTGAACATTGCTAATCATCAGAGAAATGCAAAATCAAAATCACAGTGAAGTATCATCTCACACCAGTCAGAATGGCTATTTATTTATTTATTTTGAGATGGAGTCTCTCGCTCTGTCAGGCTGGAGTGCAATGGCATGATATCAGCTCACGGCAACCTTCATCCCCCAGGTTCAAGTGATTCCCCTGCCGCAGCCTCCTAAGTAGCTGGGAATGGCTATTACTGAAAAGTTAAAAAATAACAGATGCTGGTGAGGACGTGGAAAAAAGGGAATGCTTATACACTGTGGCAGGAATGTAAACTAGGTCAGCCAAAATGGAAAGCAGTACAAAAATTTCTCAAAGAACTAAAAATAGAATTAGCATTTGACCATTAATCCCACTTCTGGGTATCTACCCAAAGAAAAAGAAATAATTCTATCAAAAAGACAGCTGCAGTTATATGTTTATTGCAGCATCATTCACAATAGCAAAGTCCTAGTATCAACCTAAGTGCCTGTCAGGCGTGGATTGGATAAAGAAAATGTGAAACATTCAGACCATGGAATCCTACACAGCCATAAAAAATGAAATCATGTCCTTTGCAGCAACATGGATGCAGCTGGAGGCCATTATCCTAAGTGAATTAATGCAGAAACAGAAAACCGAATACCACATGTTCTCACTTTTAAGTGGGAACTAACCACTTGGACATAAAGATGGAAACAGTAAATACTGGGAACTCCAAAAATGAGGAGGCAGGGAGGATGGCAAGGGTTAAAAAAGTACCTAATGGGCATTATGTTCACTGTTTGGCTGATGGGTTCAATAGAAGCCAAAACCCAAGCATTATGTAATATACCCACATAACAAACCTGCACATGTACACCCTGAATATAAATTTTTTTAAAAAGATGCATGTGTGCAAACACACAGCTACATAGAATGCTATGATAAAGAACTCAGAAAAACCTTCTAGCAGTCACTTGCTGATCTCTTCTCTTGGCAAGGTCCGTAGTTCATGTTAGGATGCTAAAGGTTGTAAAGACAGCTAGTCATGGCTAAGGATTTCCTGAAGGGCAGGGAAGAAGTGGAATAGGGAATAGTATACACTAGTATTCATAGCTCTCTAAAAATAATCCTAGATTTGCTCCAGGACAGATTCATATTTTTTGTTTTTCCCTAGGACCACCCTTGCTGTGAAAGCACGTAAGACTAAAACAGGCCCTAGAGACACACCAGGTGGAGGAAGCCTTAACCTCCCAGATACTTGAGTCTGAAAGGAGTAGGGGTCTGAGATCTGATCCTTTGCTCTTCTCTAGTCAGTAAGCATCACTTCCAATAGTCAGGGGACCCACTGATGTTTGGTTTCACTAAAGCTGCCTATGGGTGGACTGGAGAGCAGAGCTAGGATAAGGTGGACAGGGATCAAGGCAAGGAATGAGTACATTAAAGAAATACATATACCACTGGACACTTCACCCATGGCTGGGGTTCAACATGCAGCTCATTTCAACGCTGTCCCATCATACTGCATTAAATAAGTAGTCGCCCTATTCACTCCTTATTTTTCTTTTCTTATATTAAGGAGTCAACGTTCTCACCTTTCTTTTTCTTGTTATTTTCTCAAATCTCCACTACTTGATAATTGTTTTACATTACAATTACCACGTAATGTACCCTGGCTTGTGGCTGATTGAGCAGCCATAGGACTTTGTATTTACACATTCCCAGACTTAGCATTAGGAGTACTTACCCTCTTACCAGTTATCTAGAACTCTCAAAATTGTTGCTCTTCTGACATTAAAGGTAAGATAAAACTTGGTCAACTAGGATGTGTAAATCTTAACTCCCTAAAACAAGCATTTCTTTTCCCTATAGATCAAGAACATTGTTGCCTCTAACTGTGCTACTCTTGTAGGACAGTCAATGTGCAGCTCATTTCAATTCTGTACCATCATAAAAAGATATAATAATCTCACCTATAAAGAATTGAAAGGGGAGAAATATCATTAGGAGAAGAATATGTTAAAAGCAAAAGATATAAACCCATTCTGTTGGCATAATAATGTTCTACTTGGAGGATATATAAACATTATAGAAGAAGTTTAAAATGCAGGACAGTACCTTAAGAAAAGATTTTAAAAATTAACAGAATGCAAAACATTATCTTTGACAATAAACTTACCATTTTTGAAACTGAGAACAAATATTTCTCTGAAAAGAATAAACTTGTTTGCCAAGTTTTAGTCCATAAGGATTGGTGGCTCCTGACTAGAAATTAGGATATGATAATTGTTTTTACTCAATTTGTTCTTTACATTTTTAGAAGTTTTGTTTGAGAGCAAATATATAAGCTAAAAAGCAATGTGCTTAGAGGAAGAATTAGCAATGCTTTGATTATCTCCCTGTTGACTTTGGTTACAATTATTTTAATACATCTAAAGTTTGATTTAATTGAAACAGCATTTTAAACTGGTATCTCTATGTTGTTGGATTTTTTCTTCACATTTATTTGCCTTACCTGAACTCATATTGCCATTCAGCACAAACTTAATTCCAAGTGTTTGGTAAAGCCAGCTCCATATCAATGACTCTCTTTCCAGACTTTTGCAATTAATAACTCAATGTAACATACAGCAAGAGTGGGGAAGGTTGTGCCTTCATGGGTTTACATCATAGTTACTCATTTCTAATTCTACAGAAGTGGTCAGTTACTCATCTCCTTTTTAGTACTAATATCTTGATTCAAACTAACTTTCTAGGCAAGGAAGTTATTCCTGCTGTCCTCAAAATGGCTTTGTTTTCAAGTTAGATGTACTTTTTTTTTTCTTCTGATGCCTTCTTCCTTATTTCCTCCTAAGAAAGACTATAACAGTATTTTTCAATCATTTTGGTCATGGACACCTGAGTCACAAACTTTCTCAAAAAAATGTATATTACAGACAAAACTGCATGAACTTTCAGGGAGTTCACGGACCTCCCTGAAGTTCATCCATGTAGTCACAAGGGATCTGTGAACTCTGGATTAAGAGCTCCCGGCCTGGTGCATGGTCAGCCCTCAGAGGTAGGCTGGTTAGGTTACTCTCTCATCAGAGAAACTAGAAATACCAAAAAAGGGGCTTACTCAAAGCACTGTAAATAGACGCCTCAGTGTTCCTCTTCCATGGCCATGTGTAGTTTCTTTACCTATTCCCTGTATCCGTTAATTTCTGAACTGGCTGAATCAGAGCTACTGAGGCTTTGGGACCCTGTTTTTTTTGTACACTTACCCATATCCTCTCAGCAAGGCAAAAGAGCTCTGATGTGAGTTCAAATTGTGACAGTGAGTTCTTTAACTCCAAATTTAGTTGAGTTTAAAAATTTTGCACTAGGGATTACTTCTGCAACTAGCTAATGCTAAGCACTGTTATTACAGGAATGCAGCTGAAAGAATGTCATCGAAAGTTCAGCAGCAGGAATACAACTCTAATGACCCTCCACGTTGGTTTCGCTATGATAGGGAAGGAAACCCTCTTACACAGCCTGAAAACATAACATCATCTAAAGGACACTTAGAACTAACAGTGGAAAAGTCAACATACAGCAGTGAAGAGGAAGCAGTGTGACTTTCAGCCTCAAGCAGGAAGAACAAAAAATCTAGAACTCGGCAAGTTTTCTCCATTTGTTGCAAGTATGTGTACTAGCTGAATCTCAATAACAATGTAAACAAGCAACAAACCATCTTCTGATTCTTATTCCAACTACAAATGTTTCCAAATACATCAGTAGTTCTTCTGGCTAAATAATCATGATTTTAAAAAGGAGCCAAATCAGGTACTGACTGTATAAAATTTCTGCCTACATTTAATCAAACCAATAGTTTTCATGAGATTATAAAATCTAAAGTTATAGTTATATGAAACAACCCTGAGAGATGAGACTTTTTTGACAAGAAATTAAGAAATTTTTCTTTAGAAAGGAAAAAGATGGAGATGGCCATTATGTCAAACTAAGAGTTTGAGCCAGGCCAATAGCTTGAAGGACCTGTGATATTTTATAAAGCTTTATAAAGAATACAGACATATATTAATATTTTCAAAGGAATGGGGCTTTCCTGTGGTTTCCAGACATTTAACGACAAAAGAGAACTAAATAGAAACAAGAATATCTGAATAGAAAGAATGTCCCTTCAATATCTCAGAAAGATATCTCTTTAATCAAATTTACACCATGGAGGAATTCTTAAAACTATGCTATGCCAAAAAAGATGCTCCCTCAATTTTATACTAGTAAGTAAGGCTTATTAATTGCATATCTACGTATTAAATTTTACTAAGCTTTAATCTGTGTGTTTTTACTATTAGTTGATATTATATAACACTGATGTTGACACAGTCCAGGAGAAAGCACAACTCTGTTTTGACTGCCACAAACAAGCTGTGTCAGTAATAACAGATCAGTTTTAACCTTTCCATTTCCTCAATTACTTATCTCTCATATGGATTTAATTATCTTTTTGTATCCCACAAGTTTCAGATAAGGATTAAAAACTTAAGATAAAGCGTTGTTATTTTGAAAAGTTTTGAAAAGACTGTACAAAGTATTATTAGAGGTTACCTTGTATTAGCTAAATGCGTTTAGCAATTATCCCGCACTGAGGTTGATTTGTAGTTTTTGAAATAAGGTAGTATTAATTAGCTGTGGAAAGTTTCCTGGGAGTGGACACACAGGTAACAGAATCATTTCAGTGGGAAGTTTTAGGACCATAGCCAAGAGACATAAGATGACATAAGAGTACGATTTTAACCTAAATTTGAAAATTTCTGGTGGCTGCATTAGAGTTGATTTCAAAAATCTGATCCCTAAGTACCTCATGCACACAACTGGAGGAAATTATAAAAGAGGCAATTGCTTTCTACAGTAATGACAACTGCACTGGCAAGACCATGGTAGGAAACACACCCGTTGTGTTCTCCAGAAACCTAGCAGGTTGCTTTATATTCAGAGCTTGCTCCAAAGCTCTTTGAGTAACATCCTCTTTTAAACAAGTACAGAAGACACATTCATTCCTCCTGGGGAGACAAATTTTATAGCTACATACATGAAGAAAAGGAGTAGAAAAAGTGAGCTATGAAAGAAGACCAAGAAGTAAAATTTATGGGTAGAGAAATCTCTTAAGTTCTCAGCGCAAAGTCCTCAAAATATCCAAGATATTAGGTCTTTAGCCCTTAAGCATTTCATATTCATAGGTCTGTGTCCAAGAGAGTAAAATATCGCAGCTTTTTCTTTTTGTCTGGGTCTTAACAATGTGATCCAAATATGTACAATTCCATTGTTGACTGCTGTTATGCTTATGACTTTCCTGGCTGTGATTGGCTAATTTATTTTTAGTCATAAAAATGTTTATATACTTGTATGAAGGTGAAAAAAGATGATAAAAATTGCCTCAATGCCTCACAGTTTCCTCTAATTAATAGTATAACACACCACAACCATACCAAATATACCAACATTTAAGTATCTTTCAAATTTGTATTCATTCTGATTTAATGAAGGGTGAACTAAAAGGAGACGTTGAGATAGCCTATAAAGCCAACTTTTGTTTCATAAATAAGAAATTAAAAACAGAACTCTAAAAAACATGGAATATTAATGAAAAGGAGGCTGGGCACAGTGGTTCATGTGTATAATCACAGCACTTTTGGAGGCCAAGAAGGACAGCTTAAGGCCAGGAGTTTGAGACCTGATGAACATAGTAAGACCCATCTCTACAAAAAATTAAAAAATTAGAGCAGGTGTGGTGGTACCTGTCTATAATCCCAGCTACTCAGGAGGCTGAGGCAGGAGGATGCCTAAGACCAGGAGCTCAATGCTTCAGTGAACTATGATTATTGCCACTGCACTCCAGCCTGGGCAACAGAGTAAGACCTCATCTCAAAAAAAGGAAAAGATCATCATAAATCATGATATTTGGAAAGGTTTGTAAAAAATTAGTGTTTAAGAATGGAATTTTCCTAGCCCAACATACTGGCTCACACCTGTTATTGTTGCACTTTGGGAGGCTGAGGCAGGCATTTGAGGCCAGGAATTCAAGACCAGCCTGGCCAACATGGTGACACTTTTATTAGAGATAGCTCCAGTAAAAATACAAAAATTAGCTGGGCATGGTGGCATGTGCCTGTAACGCTAGCTACTCTGGTGGTTGAGGCACAAGAATCTTGAACCTGGGAGGCAGAAGTTGTAGTGAGCCAAGATTGTGTCACTGCACTCCAGCCTAAGTGATAAAGCAAGATCCTGTCTCAAAAAAAAAAGAGACTTGTCTTCATTATAAAAAATATAATCCAAGTGATTCAGGCCATTCTTGTTTTGCTATAAAGGAATATCTGAGACTGGGTGATTTATGAAGAAAAGAGGTTTAATTGACTCACGAGGTTTAATTGGGTCTGCAGGCTGTGCAACCATTGCACAGGGATCTGTTTGGCTTCTAAGGAGGCCTCAGGGAGCTTTTAGTTATGGCAGAAGGCAAAGTAGAGCAGTCACATCACATGGCAAGAGCAGGAACAAGAGAGAGATAGGGAAGATGCCCACACTTTTAAACAGATCATGCAAGAACTCACTATTACAAGGACAGAACCAAGAAGGTGGTTGTAACAGTGAGAAATCTGCCTGCATGATCCAGTCACCCCCGCCCAGGCCCCGCTCCAACATTGGGGATTACATTTAAGCATGAGATTTTGGGGGAGAGATATCCAAACTACATCACTAAGAGATAGTTGTAGTCAGTATTATATAACTTATTTATTTTAATTAATTATTTTGAGACAGTCTCACTCTGTCACCCAGGCAGGAGTGCAGTGCTGTGATCTCGGCTCACTGCAACCTCCACCTCCCAGGTTCAAGTGATTCTCCTGCCTCAGCCTCCTGAATAGTTGGGATTACAGGGATGAGCCACCATGCCCTGCTAAATTTTTTTTTTTGTATTTCTAGTAGAGATTGATTTTCACCATGTTTGCCAAGCTGGTCTCAAACTCCTGACCTCAATGATCTACATGCCTTGGTCTTCCAAAATGCTGGGATTATAGGCATGAGCCACTGTGCCCAGCCAGTATTATATAATTTAAATGTTCCAGGAATAGAGACATTTGAAAGAAATGGAATTCATAAAACATTGTATACAGTATACCATTATAAAAATCTATTTTCATTTATCAGGCTATAAAATAGCTGTTTCTTTCCTCCTAATGAACTATATCTTAAATTACACAAAAGTTATTAAGAGATTTTGGACTCAAGATGGCACGGTGAGAACCCAGGATTGAAGCTCTTGCTGAATGCACAGAGAGGGTGAGTCAGGGCCGCATTTCCAGACGGATCTTTGTTGCCCACAGAATGGGGAAAAGAGACGCGGGACGCCAGGCAGAGGTTTTGGCTGGTGGAGCCGGCAGCCGGTGCAGCCGGCGGCTGGCACTGTAGTGTAGCGGTGCTACACAGTGCTCCGCACAAAGCGCACTGGTCTGGGTGCCCTGTTGAACCGGCAATCTGAGACTTGAGAGGACTGAACCTGAGACTGAATGGGACTTGGAGAGTGAGCCAGCCCAGGAGATTCCAGGAAAACCGCAATTGGGGTAGTGCAGTGGGACAATCAAAATGGCAATTCCAAACGCCAATTTGGAGAGGTTCCCTGCGGGCACAGCTGAACCCAGGATGGTGCAGCTCCGTGGGGGAGGGGCATCTGCCATTACCGAGGCAATCCACCCCTACTGAGATACACGCCCATTGCTGACGCAGCCTGCCATTGCCAAGGCAACCCGCCACAACAGAGAGACTCCGCTGCAGGGCGTAGCCCGTGGCAGCACGGCAGAGACCACAGCACGGTAGAGCCTGCAGAAACACGGCGAACCTCACACCAGCAGGGTGGAGCCTCGGCAGGCAAATAGTGACTAGACTGCCTCATAGCTGGGCAGGACAGCACAACGGACACTCACAAAGAAGGCCCCAACCCCCTCCCAGAGAGAGCATCTGAGAAAAAAAGGGTTTTTAAATGAGTTCTGCTGCAGCAGAATTAAATGTAGCAGCCTAACAGCCCTGAATGAATAACAGAGCTCACAACTCAGCACTTGAGCTCCCATAAAGTACAGACTGTCTCCTCAAGCAGCTCCCTGACCACTCTATATCCAAAAGACTGACATTTGGCAGGCATCATTCTGGGACAAAGATAGCAGAAAAAGAAACTGGTAGCATCCCTCACTGTTCCGCAGCTGCTATAGGTGCACCCCAGACAAGCAGGGCCTCGAGTGGACCTCAGCAGTCGTACAGTGGCGGGGCTAGACTGGTAGAAGGAAAACCAAGTAACAGAAATACTTCATCATCAACAATCTGGGCGTCCACTCAGAGACCCAATCGAAAAGTCAGCAACTACACAGACGACAGGTAAATAAATCCACAAAGATGGGAATAAACCAGCACAAAAAGGAGGAAAACACCCGAAACCAGAACACCTCGCCTCCTAGAAAGGACCAAATCTCCTCACCGGCAAGGGAACAAAGCTGGACGGAGAATGACTGTGACGAAATGACGGAATTAGACTTCAGAAGGTGGATAATGAGAAACTTTTGTGACCTAGAAAAACATGTTTTAAATAAATGCAAAGAAACTAAGAACCTTGAAAAAAGATTTGAAAAAGATTCGAGGAAATGATAACAAAAATGGATAACTTAGAGAGGAATATGAATGAATTAAAGGAGCTGAAAAACACAATATGAGAACTTTGCAAAGCATGCACAAGTTTCAACAGCCGAATTGACCAAGCAGAAGAAAGAATATCAGAAGTCGAAGATCAACTCAATGAAATAAAACGAGAAACCAAGATCAGAGAAAAAAGCACAAAAAGGAAAGAACAAAGTCTCCAAGAAATGTGGGATTATGTGAAGAGACCTAACCTATGTTTGATAGGTGTACCAGAATGTGATGAAGAGAATGAATCCAAGCTGGAAAATACTCTTCAGGACATCATCCAGGAAAATTTCCCCCACCTAGCAAGACACACCAACACTCAAATGCAGGAAATACAGAGAACGCCACAAAGATATTCCACAAGAAGAGCAACCCCAAGGGACATAATCGTCAGATTCAACAAGGTTGAAATAAAGGAGAAAATACTAAGGGCAGCCAGAGAGAAAGGTCGGGTCACCCACAAAAGGAAGCCCATCAGACTCACAGCAGATCTCTCGGCAGAAACACTACAAGCCAGAAGAGAGTGGGGGCCAATATTCAACATCCTTAAAGAAAAGAACTTTCAACCCAGAATTTCATATCCAGCCAAACTGAGCTTCAGAAGTGAAAGAAAAATAAAATCCTTTGTGAACAAGTAAGTACTCAAAGATTTTGTCACCACCAGGCCTGCTTTACAAGAGCTCCTGAAAGAGGCACTACACATAGAAAGGAACAACCAGTACCAGCCATTCCAAAATCACACTAAATGCTAAAGAGCATCAACATAATGAAGAATCTACAACAACTAACGGGCAAAAAGCCAGCTACCATCAAAATGGCAGTATCAAATTCACACATAACAATATTAACCCTAAATGTAAATGGATTAAATGTACCAATCAAAAGACAAAGACTGGCAAATTGGATAAAAATCCAAAACCCATCAGTGTACTGTATCCAGGAAACCCATCTCACATGCAAGGATACACAAAGGCTCAAAATAAAGGGATGGAGGAAGATTTACCAAGCTAATGGACAGCAAAAAAAAGCAGGAGTTGCAATTCTCATCTCTGATAAAATAGACTTTAAAGCAACAAAGATCAAAAGAGACAAAGAAGGCCATTACATAATGGTAAAAGGATCGATACAACAAGAAGAGCTAATGATACTAAGCATATATGGACCCAATACAGGAACACCCAGATACATAAGGCAAGTTCTTAATGACTTACAAAGAGACTTAAGACTCCCACACAATAATAGTGGGAGACTTTAACACTTCACTGTCAATATTAGACAGATCAACCGGACAGAAAATCAACAAGGTTATCCAGGGCTTGAACTCAGACCTGGAGCAAGCAAACCTGATAGACATTTACAGAACTCTCCACCCCAAATCCACAGAATATACATTCTTCTCAGCACCACATCACACCTACTCTAAATTGACCACATAATTGGAAGTCAAGCACTCCTCAGCAAATGCAAAACAACTGAAATCATAACAAACAGTCTCTCAGACCATAGTGCAATCAAGTTAGAACTCAGAATTCAGAAACTAACTCAGAACCACACAGCTTCATGGAAACTGAACAACTGGCTCTTGAATATTGACTGGATAAACAATGAAATGAAGGCAGAAATAAAGAAGTTCTTTGAAACCAATGAGAATGAAGACACAACATGCCACAATCTCTGGGACACATTTAAAGCAGTCTCTAGAGGAAAATATATAGCAATAAGTGCCCATATGAGGAGAATGGAGAGATCCAAAATTGACACCCTATCGTCAAAATTGAAAGAGCTAGAGGAGCAAGAGCAAAAAAACTTAAAACGTATCAGAAGACAAGAAATAACTAAGATCAGAGCTGAAATGAAGGAGATAGAGACATGAAAAACCCTTCAAAAAAATCAATAAATCCAAGAGCTGGTTTTTTGAAAAGATCAACAAAATAGACAGACCACAGCCGAATTCTACCAGACACACAAAGAGGAGCTGGGACCATTCCTTCTGAAACTATTCCAAATAATCCAAAAAGAGGGAATCCTTCCCAAATCATTTTATGAGACCAATATCATCCTGATACCAAAACCCGGCAGAGACCCAACGAGAAAAGAAAACTTCAGGCCAATATCCATGATGAACATAGATGAAAAAATCTTCAATAAAATATTGGCAAGCCGATTGCAACAGCAAATCAAAAAAGTTATCCATCATGATCAAGTAGGATTCATCCCGGGGATGCAAGGCTGGTTCAACATACGCAAGTCTATAAATGTAATTCACCACATAAACAGAACCAAAAACAAAAACCACATGATTATCTCAATTGACGCAGAGAAGACATTCGACAAAATTCAACAGCCCTTTATGCTAAAAACCCTCAATAAACTCGGTATTGATGGAACGTATCTCAAAGTAATAAAAGCTATTTATGACAAACCAACAGCCAATATCATACAGAATGGGCATAAACTGGAAGCATTCCCTTTGAAATCCGGCACTAGACAAGGATGCCCTCTTTCACCACTCCTATTCAATACAGTACTGGAAGTTCTAGCCAGAACAAAAGGCAAGAGAAAGAAATAAAGAGTATTCAAATAGGAAAGGTGGAAGCCAAATTGTCTCTATTTGCAGACGACATGATAGTATACCTAGAAGACCCAACGCCTGAGCCCAAAAACTCCTGAAACTGATAAGCAACTTCAGCAAAGTCTCAGAATATAAAATCAATGTGCAAAAATCACAAGCATTCCTCTACACCAATAACAGACTTAAAGAAAGCCAAATCAAGAACCAACTGCCATTCACAATTGCTACAAAAAGAATAAAATACCTAGGAATACAACTCACAAGGAACATAAGGGACCTCTTCAAGGAAAACTACAAACCACTGCTCAACGAAATCAGAGAGGACACAAACAGATGGAGAAACATTCCATGTTCATGGTTAGGAAGAATTAATATCGTGAAAATGGCTATACTGCCCAAAGTAATTTACAGAATCAACACTATCCCCATCAAGCTACCATTAACTTTCTTCACAGAACTGGAAAAAAACACCATGAACTTCATATGGAACCAAAAGAGAGCCCGCATAGCCAAGTCAATTCTAAGCAAAAAGAACACAGCGGGGGGCATCACACTACCGGATTTCAAACTATACTACAAGGCTACAGTAATCAAAACAGCATGGTACTGGTACCAAAACAGAGATATAGACCAATGGAACAAAACAGAGGCATCGGAGGCAACACAACATATCTACAACTATACAATCTTTGATAAACCTGACAAAAACAAGCAATGGGGAAAGGACTCCCTGTTTAACAAATGGTGTTGGGAAAACTGGCTAGCCATGTGCAGAAAGCAGAAACTGGACCCCTTCCTGACACCTTACACTAAAATTAACTCCAGATGGATTAAAGACTTAAACATAAGACCTGGCACCATAAAAACCCTAGAAGGAAATCTAGGCAAAACTATCCAGGACATAGGAGTAGGCAAGGACTTCATGAACAAAACACCAAAAGCATTGGCAACAAAAGACAAAATAGACAAATGGGACCTAATGAAACTTCACAGGTTCTGCACGGCAAAAGAAACAGTCACTAGAGTGGATTGACAACCAACAGAATGGGAAAAAATTTTTGAAGTTTACCCATCTGACAAAGGGCTGATATCCAGAATTTACAAAGAACTAAAACAGATTTACAGGAAAAAAACAAGCCCATTCGAAAGTGGGCAAAGGATATGAACAGACACTTTACAAAAGAAGACATATATGAGGCCAACAATCCTATCAAAAAATGCTCATCATCACTGGGCATCAGAGAGATGCTAATCAAAACCACATTGAGATACCATCTCACACCAGTTAGAATGGCGATCATTAAAAAATCTGGAGACAACAGATGCTGGAGAGGATGTGGAGAAAAAGGAACACTTTTACACTGTTGGTGGGAGTGTAAATTAGTTCAACCATTGTGGAAGACAGTGTGGCGATTCCTCAAGGCCTTAGAAATAGAAATTCCATTTGACCCAGCAATCCCATTACTGAATATATATCCAAAGGACTATAAATCACTATAAGGACACATGCACACGAATGTTCATTGCAGCACTGTTTACAATAGCAAAGACCTGGAATCAACCCAAATGCCCATCGATGATAAGACTCGATTGGGAAAATGTGGCACATATACACCATGGAATATTATGCAGCAATCAGAAATGATGAGTTTGTGTCGTGTGTAGGGACATGGATGAATCTGGAGAACATCATTCTCAGCAAACTGACACAAGAACAGAAAATGAAATACCGCATATTCTCACTCATAGGCAGGTGATGAAAAAGGAGAACACATGGACACAGAAAGGGGAGTACTAAACACTGGGGTCTATTGGGGGGAAAAGGGGAGGGCCAGTGGGGGGAGGATCTGGGGAGGGATAGCCTGGGGAGAAATGCCAAATGTGGTGAAGGGGAGAAAGGAAGCAAAACAGACTGCCATGTATGTACTTATGCAACTATCTTGCATGTTCTGCACATGTACCCCAAAACCTAAAATACAATAAAAAGTTAAAAAAAAAGTTATTAAGAATCAGTAGCAAATGCCTCACATATGTTTTTTATTCATGGCTTAAATTTACATTGATGGCATAAGAGGTACTAAGTAGAAAACCTGTCATGTGAGAGCTACATTATAAAAAAATTTAAGCTATTTGCACCCCCCTATGAAAAATGCCTTTGTATAATCTCCTTCCCTTGAGCGGGAAATGAAACTGAATGTTATAGGCCATCACTACCATAAACGTTACATTATATGGTAAAACAAAGGTTATCTTGGGTGGGCCTGACCTAATCAAGTGAGCCCTTTAAAAGTATATATTCTTGCAGCTGGTTGCAGAAGTCAGATATTCAAAATATGAGAAGAACTCAGTTCATCACTGCAGGCTTAAAGATGGAAGGACAACATGCAAAGACATGTGGGTGGCCTCTAAAAGCTTAGAGTGATTGCTGGCTGATAGCCAGCAAGAAAATGGAGACCTCAGTCATCCAATCACAAGGAACTGGATTTTCCCAACAATCTAAATAAACTTGGAAGTAGATTTCTTCCCAGAGACTCCAGATGAGAACTCAGTCTGACCAAAATCTTGATTCCAGACTTGTGATTCCCTGAGCAGAGAACCTAGCCATACTGGGCTCTTGGCTTATGGAACTGTGAGCTGTAAATGAATATTATTTTATGCTGCTAAATTTGTGGTAATTTGTTACAGATCAGTAGAAAATGAATACAATAGCCAAGTACAAATTTTGAAAAAGCCTGCCTAAACAGTTCACCAGTATTCATTCTCAATTTGTTCTTTTCAACATTTATATGAACAGTGGTATTTACATTTTTATAGTCACAGATACGCAAATCATTGTTAAAAATCATAAATACAACCTCAAATCAGTCTTAGTCCTGCAGTTTCAGGGACTGAAACCAGCTTTGCCTTCTAAAACTTACAGTCCCTTTTGGAGCATCAGCCTTAATCCATTTTTCATGTTTGCTTGCTTGATTCATGAGTCCTGAAACAAAAAATTGCATAAAGTTATATCAAGAGCAGTAATTGACTACATAGATCTAGCAACATATCTATAAAACAAAAACACCTTAGAATACCAAGCATCTTGGTAAAGATAATCTGAATTGGGAAAGAGTTGCAAAGAGATTATCTGGGCTTGCTCCCCTCCATTCATTTTCTCAGAACAACCCTGAGAAGGAGGGTACTCTGTGTGTTTTGTTTGAAATGAAGTCTCACTCTGTCGCCCAGGGCGAAATATAGTGGCATGATCTCAACTCACTGCAGCCTCTGCCTCCTGGGTTCAAGGAATTCTCTGGCCTCAACCTCCTGAGTAGCTGGGACTACAGACACGTGCCACCACGCCTGGCTAATTTTTTTTGTATTTTTAGTAGGGACAGGGTTTCACCATGTTGTTTGTATTTTTAGTAGGGCCAGGCTGGTCTTGAACTCCAGACCTCAGGTGATCCACCCACCTCGGCCTCCCAAAGTGCTGGGATTGCAGGTGTGAGGCACCACCCACAGCCAGGTGTGAGCCACCACCCCCAGCCAGCTGTGTTTTATTTGCACAGGATGCGTATCCCTTATTTAACATGCTTGGGACCAGAATTGTTTCAAATTTCACATTTTTTTTGAATATTTGAAGAAGACATACCAGTTGAGCATCCTAATATGAAGATCTGAAATCCAAATTACTCCAATTAACACTTCTTTATTTCATATTTTGAAGCATTTCAGATTTTGGATTAGGAATGTTCCACATTTATTATTTTTAAATGCAGTCTAAAAAAAGAGCTTTATTGGAGTATAACTGACAAAATAAACTACATGTACCTAAAGCATAAAATGTACTAAATTTTGACATAGGTAAAAGTCTGTGAATCATCTACTTAATCAAGATAGTGAACATATCCATCCCTCCCAAAAGTTTGTTTGTATTCCAGTGTGGTCTTTTCCTTTTTTTTTTTTTGCGCCTCCCTTTCTGTCACCCTCCAACAGCTTTGTGGCACTATGGATTAGCTGCTGTTTGTAAAAGCTTATATAAATTGAGGTATACAGTTATGCTCTTTAAAAAAAAATCTGTCTTCTTTCATTCAGCATAATTATTTTGAGGTTCATCCACAGTGGACCATGTGTAGGTAGTTTCCTCAATGCTTCCTCATTAGTACTTGGCTAAATCTCCATGGCACCCTCCGCAGTCCCCTCTGTGCAGCTTCCTCCCCTTTGGAACTCTCTTTTGTGAACTCTGGGCAGCTTTGATCTCTCCAGAAGCTCTGCTCAGAGACTCAGTCTCCTCCACTCAAGGAGTCCGCTGGGCTCTGCCTGTGCGATCTCTCCCTGCCCTGCAGCCCAGATCCCTGCTGTGGCAATCACAAAGCTCCCCTCGTTTGTTTCTCAGATCTATTCTCCTAGTTCTATGTTTTCTTTACAAATCAAGGTTATAAAGGTGTTATATTTCCTCTGGAGTTCCACTGCAGTTCTGGGTTTAAGAAACCAGACAAATTGAGACAGAACAGGGACACTTTGTAGGGGCCTGTGGGCTCTTCTCAAGCACAAAATTTAAAAAAAAAACAAACTTGGGTTCCTTAAAAGATTCCAGGCATTTACCTAAGTAAACTCCTGCACTTTGGGAGGCCAAGGTGGGTGGATCACCTGAGGACAGGAGTTCAAGACTCCCCAGTCAACATGGTGAAACCCTGTCTCTAGTAAAAATATAAAAATTAGCCAAGCATGGTGCCAAGCACCTGTAATCCCAGCTACTCGACAGGCTGAGGCAGGAGAATTGCTTGAACCTGGGAGGTAGAGGTTGCAGTGAGCCGAGATTGCGCCATTGCACTCCAGCCTAGGTGACAAGAGTGTAACTGTGTCTCAAAAAAAAAAAAAGCAAATGAGCAACTTAATAAACAACAACAACAACAAATAGCTTAAAACAAGTCAAAAAGTTCAAATCATAAATGTTTTGTTTTTTATTTTTAAAAAAAAGACCAAATCTGAACCTATGTCTCTGAGTTGTTTCACAGAAATCCAGACCCCCACCAAACAGATCTGCTAGCACATAGACTTCAGATAAGGGGAAACTGAAGACTAAATTCTGACCATTCTACATTTCTCAGGGGCCTGGAGGAGGTGTCACCCATGAGCCAGAACTAACATTCTTTTCTATGGATCCCAAATTTTTAGATAAAGCTTCACTTTGTTAACCAATCAGAAATCAAAAAAATCTTTAAATACACCTATAGCCTGCAGGCTCCCTTCTTCTAGATGTCTTGCCCTTTTAGGTCAGAGCAATACATAGTCCCCATGTATCAATTTATGATTTTGCCTATAAAGCCGTTAATTCATTCCTTTTTATGGCTAAGTGGTATTCCATCATGTGTGTGTGTATATATATATATATATATACACACACATACACACACATTGATTAAAAAACTGAGATATATATAGATATATCTAGACCTATCTATCTATATATGTCTAGATATATCTATATAGAGATATCTATATTTATCTATAGATATATATCTCACAGTTTTTTAATCCACTCATTGATTGGCATCTTTTTGTATAATGACTTTTTTCCTCTGGGTAGATATCCAGTAGTGGGATTGCTGGATCAGATGGCAGTTCTACTTTTAGTTCTTTTTTTTTTTTGAGACAGAGTTTCGCTCTTGTTACCCAGGCTGGAGTGCAATGGCGTGATCTCGGCTCACTGCAACCTCCACCTCCCGGGTTCAGGCAATTCTCCTGCCTCAGCCTCCTGAGTAGCTGGGATTACAGGCACGCACCACCATGCCCAGCTAATTTTTTATATTCTTAGTAGAGGCGGGGCTTCACCATGTCGACCAGGATGGTCTCGATCTGTTGACCTCGTGATCCACCCACCTTGGCCTCCCAAAGTGCTGGGATTACAGGCTTGAGCCACCGTGCTTGGCCCCTACTTTTAGTTCTTTAAGGAATCTCCAGACTGTTTTCCATGGTGGTTACACTAGTTTACATTGGGGTTGGTTCCCCAATTTTGCAATTGCAAATTGTGCTGGGTAGATACCCAGTAGTGGGATTGCTGGATCAGATGGTAGTTCTACTTTTAGTTCTTTAAGGAATCTCCAGATTGTTTTCCATGGTGGTTGTACTAGTTTACATTCCAACCAGCAGTGTAGATGTGTTCCCTGAGTACCACATCCACACCAACATCTATTGTTTTTTGATTTTTTGATTATGGCCATTCTTGCAGGAGTAAGGTGGTGTTGCATTGTGGTTTTGATTTGTATTTCTCTAATCATCAGTGACATTCTTTCATATGTTTGTTGGACATTTGTATGTGTATATCTTCATTTGAGAATTGTCTATTCATGTCCTTAGCCCACTCTTTGATGGGACTGTTTTTTTCTTACTGATTTGAATTCATTGTAGATTCTGGATATTACTCCTCTGTCAGATGTATGGATTGTGAAGATTTATTCCCACTCTGTGGGTTGTTCCTTTTGCTGTGCAAAAGTTCTTTAGTTTAATTAAGTCCCAGCTATTTATCTTTGTTTTTATTGCCTTTGCTTTTGGGTTCTTGGTCATGAAATCCTTGTCTAAGCCAGTGTCTGGAAGGATTTTTCTGATCTTAACTTTGAGAATTTTTACAGTTTCAGGTCTTAGATTTAAGTCCTTAATCCATCTTGAGTCGACTTTTTTGTAAGTGTTCTCTATTCTCTATTCTGTTCCATTGGTCTATGTGCCTATTATTATACCAGTACCATGCTGTTTTTGTGACTACGGCCTTAGAGTATAGTTTGAAATCAGGTAATATGATGCCTCCAGATTTGTTCTTTTTGCTTAGACTTGCTTTGGCTATGCAGGCTCTTTTTTGGTTCCACAGAATTTTATAACTGTTTTCTCTAATTCTCTGAAGAATGATGGTGGTATTTTGATGGTGATTGCATTTAATCTGTAGATTGCTTTGGTGGTAAGGTCATTTTCATATTGATTTTACCCATCCATGAGCATGGGATGTGTTTCCATTTCTTTGTGTGGTCTATGATTTCTTTCAGCAGTGTTTTATAGTTTTCCTTGTAGAGGTCCTTTGCCTCCTTGGCTAGGTATATATTCCTAAGTACTTCATTTATTTTATTTTTTTGCAGCTATTGTAAAAAATGGGTTGAGTTCTTGATTTGATTCACCACTTGGTTGCTGTTGGTGTATAGAAGAGCTACTGATTTGTGTACATTCATTTTGTATCTGGAAACTTTGCAGAATCTTTTTTATCAGTTCTAGGAGCTTTCTGGAGGAGTCTTTAGGGTTTTTGAGGTAAACAATCATATCATCAGCAAACAGTGACAGTTTGACTTCCTCTTTACCAATTTGGATGCCCTGTATTTCTTCCTCCGACTGCTCTAACTAGGACTTCCAGTACTATATTGAGGAGGAGTGGTGAAAGTGGGCATCCCTGTCTTGTTCAGTTCTCAGAGGGAATGCTTTCAACTTTTCCCCACTCAGTATTATGGTAGCTGTGGGTTTGTCATAGATGGCTTTTATTACATTGAGGTATGTCCCTTGTATGCCAATTTTATTGAGAGTTTTAATCATGAAGGGATGCTGGATGTTGTTGAATGCTTTTTCTGCATCTATTGAGATGATCATGTGATTTTTGTTTTTGATTCTGTTTATATGGTATATCACATTTATTGACTTGCATGTGTTAAACTATCCCTGGGATAAAACCCACTTGATCATGGTAGATTATCTTTTTGATATGTTGTTGGATTCTGTTAGCTAGTATTTTGTTAAGAATTTTAACATCTATGTTCATCAGGAATATCAGTCTGTAGTTTTCTTTTTTGGTTGTGTCCTTTCCTGGTTTTAGTATTAGGGTGATGCTGGCTTCATAGAATGAATTGGGGAGGGTTCCTTCTTTCTCTATCTTGTGGAATAGTGTCAGTAGGATTGGTACCAATTCTTCGAATGTCTGGTAGAATTCTGTGGTGAATCCATCTGGTTCTGGACTTTTTTGTTGTTGTT